GTGGTGGCACATTCCTTTAATTCAGCATTGCAGAGGCTGAGGCAGGAAGATCTCTTTTTGTTCAAGGCCAGCCTAGTCTATACAGCAAGTTCCAGGCTAGTCAGGGCTATCATTTTGGGGACCAATTTTCTCCTCTAAGGCATACTAACAATGCCTTCCTTTTGAGGTTGACAACTGAATGAGGAATTCACTGTGAAACACTGAGAATAGCCCCTGCAACAGATGGAGTACCAGAAAACATTGTTTAATAGAAAAAAACTAGTCTTAAAAAGTATGCCTGTGAACATACTCTTTTATAAGCTTACTTAGCATGTTTAACAGACATACACACACACTGATACACACAGACAAAGAGAGAAAGATTAAATGGAATTATGCCACACACAGGGTAACAATGCTTCCCTAGGAACCACAGAGCACCTAACAAATACCCAACCGCCAGTCAAGGGAAACCTCCCTTTGAATTGTTGGTCAAGGTTTCAAGAAAACCCCTCCAAACAATATAGCCTGCTGCCTCTCAGAACCTGAAGGTAAGTCCCCGTTGCTGAGGATACTACACACTTCAGACACAGGACCTGAAGAATGGAGCTGGATCTGACCTGGGAGCCTCCTCCCTGTGGACTGGTTCTCATATTATCAGAAGAAGCTACACAAGCTAGCAAGAAAAAAAAAAGTCAGTAGTTCGATGCAGCTGTTACACCTATGACCCACAACAATTACCGAGCCAACAAATGTTCCAATGGTGCGGTAGTGGCAATGGAACTTGGCAATAACCAACAGCTGTCTAATTAGATTAAGGCCATTCGGTAAGAGGGAATGCCTGATACTGTATACTTGGCCAATTATCCCTGGCTTGAGCGGTCACTGACCCTAGGGGAGAAACAACCATTACCATTTCCCTCAATCAATGTATCTTCTAGCTATATTCTAAACACTTATCTTTATACTCAGATAAATGTAGCTCTCACTCCTCATCAAAGAAGCTTCATTTTACAGCAGTTGGAGGCTGCTATTGAGATATACAACTGATTGAAAATGCAGAAAACAAGGGACCTTAAGTGTTCAGCCCCAGCTGATGGATCTACATTACAACTGCAGAAAATGGGGAGGGAATACTGTAAAAGTCAAAGGACCAGGACACCTGTTGCAAGACAGTATCTTCTAGACATGACAAGGATGCTGTACCTGTGAAACCTCAAAAATATGGCTGTCTAAAAAGACATGCACAATGACCATACACATTGACATGCCAAGAGCATAGAGGAAATGTTCCAATGTCTCACTCCCAGATAAAGAGCTACAGGCAGTCAGGGCCCTCCTCCCACTAGAGGAGGGAGGATCAACCTTCCCCAGAGACCTTTTCCAATTACCTTATCCAATCTCAAATGGTCAGCGCTAAACCCATGTATATATGAGTAACACTAAATGAACTTGCTAAATGTTACATACATACACATGTATATGTATGTAACAATACATGCTCGCATCTACATGTACGTACAATAATTATACAAAATGAGGTCAAGAGCAACACAAAAGGGATGATAAAAGAGTTGGAGAGGGGAAAAGAAAGTGTGAAAATTACGTAAATATAGTATACTCATGTATGAAATTCTCCAAAAAAAACCCCAAACACTTTTTAAAATATGGTTCAGTGGTTAAGTATACACGCTGCTCTCCCAGGACTTGACTTCAGTTCCCAGTGCCCATGTTGGGTGGCTCACAACTACCTGTAACTCCAGCTCCAGAAGATTCCATGCCTGCTCTGTCTCCTATGAGCACCCATGTATGTGGCAAACGCAATACACACACACACACACACACACACACACACACACACACACACAAATAAAATACTTTAAAACCTTAAAAGTATATCTGCTAGATTGGAGAATGCAGAGATCACAGAAGAGTCATGAGAAGATGTATGGGAGCCAAGAATGGAGTAAGGCCTTTCCCCATGGGCAGTGTAAAAGGCATGTCACCTATGCACTAACATTCAGAGTTATAGTTGCCTTCTTAGAATTTGCTGTGTTATAAAAAAGAAACAACAGGGCAAGAGAGATGGCTCAGTCAGCGAAGTGCTTACCTTGTGAGCACAAGGATCAGTGTTCACCTCAGACTCCACATTAAGAAGTTTTTAAAAATACAGGCATGGTAGCACCCTCTTAGACTCTCAGTACCTGAAGGCAGAGATAGGCAGACACCCGGGATTCTCTGGCAAGGCAGCCTAGCTTACACAGTGAGGTTGTGGTGGCTATTCTTGACTGTCAACTTCACTATATCTAGGATAAACTATAAACCAGAAATGGAAGGCACACCTTTTCTGCTTGGTTTGAAGTGGGTGAATCTACTTCTAGTCCTGATCTTTGAGGTAGAAAGACATACCCTTAATCTGGACCACACCTTCTGCTGGAAGCCTATATAAGGACATGGAAGAAGGAAGCTCCTGCTCTGCCTGCTTGCCCTCTTCTTACTCGCATACCTATTCCTTCAATGGCATTGGAGTCTACTTCTCCAGTATTCTAGCATATACTGAAGATCAGCTGTCGCACCCAGGACTGGGTGAGCAACTACTAAATTCTTGGACTTTCTGTTTATAGCCAACCATAGTCTTGGACTATAGTTTTTAAGTCTAATAAATCCCATATATATATATAAGTTCTATGACTCCAGAGAAACCTGAGTAATATAGAGCTCAAAGCCAGTGAGCGTCTGTCTAATTGACAGGGACTGAGGAACAATAACAGAGGATACCCTTGCCCTTACATGCATATCTGCGCGCGCGCACACACACACACACACACAAAGACAACAAAAGTTATAACATCCAATGGTGCTTCCAGGCCTTTTGGGACTATAAGTTGGTGGGGGTTTTCTAAGGAGAAATATAGTTGCATATGTTTTCTGTCTAGGCAGATCTACAATCAGGAATTTTACACATGCACAAAAATATACCTACAGAGATTTTACTAAGTTCTTGTTTATAATTACACACAAGAAAAACAACTGAATTAATTGTCAACAAATGTGCCATGGCTGACCGCAATACTGGAATAAGGGGAGTGTGCAAGATGATCCACAATACAACATATCAAGGTCATCTGGAGTGGGGAAAGATGAACTAAGATGGAGAGAAAGGATTTAGTCCAGCTACTTATTACTTTGCCTTCAAATTAGATGTAGATCTGGGAGGCAGAAAAGAAAATTCAATATGGTAAAAGGCTGAAAGCCTTGATCCCAGGCATCTTCAGAAAGGTCAGGGGCACTCAGCCATGGCAGGAGAAAGCTGTGGAGCCATAGCAAAGGGCACCTAATGGCAGAGAACAGGTTTGTAGAAGGACCAGTAGAAATCAGAAAAGTTGCGTCAATGGCTGGAGCTGCTGAAGATGCAACAAGCATTCAGTAGGGTGCCAGAAATGAAGAGAAAAGGGGTAAATATAAGTGCATGTGTATGTGTCTGCATGTGGTGTGTAAAAGAGACAGGCAACAGGACAGAGAAGCAGGGATATGGAGAAAGAACAGCAATGCCCATAACCCACATCAGTGAATTAGAGCCATGGCTGTCTGAATTTCAGCCTCAGAGATGGTACAACCTGATCTTAAGCAACTTTTCTCTAAAACCTTGCAAAATGACTTTAGGTTCCAAGCTGAGGTTCAAAACCCTACTGAAATCTCACATATCTCACACTGTGGGACAGCAGCCAGCCCGCTGCCATGTCAGGATTCTGTTAGCACACAAAGTGGTGAGGGTCACATGTCACCTTGAGAGCTCTTTAAGGGACTGAAAGGATGTTTTAATCAGCTGCCACAGATGCTGGCAATGAGCCTTGGCCACCTACCTGGACACCTGTTAAGTACAAATTGATTAATTGCTTAATAATTCATCCAATCTGTGCTGTGATTTTGCATTCCAAGCATCCTGCTATATCAACAGGAAACATTTACAGTAAAAAAATTAAGAACAGCGATTCAGAAGCATGGCCTAGGGGTCAAAGGCCAGGTCCTCCTACCTAACAGACACCAGGCAAATGTATTCCCTTCTTCAGTGTCTAAGTGTGTTGCCCTTAGAACACAGGAAGACAAAAGTACTATAGCCACAGGGATATAACAGCTAACAGAGCAGCTAAGTATACTGGGTCTCTGACATGGCAACTGCTATGTAAAGCCCTACAGAAGTCCTGTCTCATTTAATACCCAAATCACTCACACAAAATAGCAGTTTTTATTTCTGTATTACCAATAAAAAAAACTGAAGGTAAAGTAGGCTAGCAAAGCTGGAAGAGATTCAAACCCTGACCACACACTGGGCTCTCACACAGCACACTTTGCACAGCCCAGCACAGCCCACTGTGAATAGAAAAGAGTATAAGCATCAAACAACCCCCGGCCTACTGCAGAGGCCCAGGTGCCCTTAGTGTACCTGCATCTCCTTCTAGAAGGTTATCTATGAATGTGCCATGCTTGTGGTCACCCTCAGCCCACTCATGTGGCTTTAGAGTTGAAGTCTAGCCAGGAACATAGCCAAAGGAAGCACATGGTGTTTTTTCTTCAAGAACACCCTCCACAGTCTAGTCTAGTCTTCAGGCACCAATCAGCCTTCCTCCCTTAACTCCAACCATCCACTAGGATGTCACCTCACCTCACACTCAAGCATTGTCCAGGTCCATGTATTACAGTAGAATGAATGCTCTTGAGGACTGCCCTTCCACAGTTTGCTTCCAAAAGCTCCCTGTTCTCCCAGCACATGAACTCACCAAGGTAGAGACAGAGTTTTACCATTGCTGTAGTCCACACAGGTCTTTTCAGAAAACCCCTGACCAGCATGCCATGGGTCTCACCTACTGCATTCACCTCTATCCTCAGGAACAGTAAGCAAGCATTGTCAGCAGATGGACTGACCTGGACAAGTACACACCACTCCCAAGCAACAAGCCCGAGAGCAGGGATGAGCCGTCACTGCTCTGGAAAAGAACCTGCCGTGCACATGCAGCACTAACCTGCCTCTCCTTCCTCTTCACCCAGATTCAGCACAATGATGCAGATGTGCTTGCGCAGCTGGCGCGTATTGGAGAACTTCCGGCAGCACTTGCTACACTCCAGGCTGTTAGGGGCCAGGCCACTCCCTTCCTCTGGAGCCAGGGGCGTGTCTTCACTGGGGCTAACAAGGTTTTCTGCCACCTCCTCTTCAGTGCTGGCCTTCTTTGTAGAGCCCTTAGGCCTGCCTCTCTTTCTTTTCATAACCAAAAACTCTGTAAAAGAAACAACAAGACAGGAGGCAGTCACATGAGGGGGTAAAGAAGGACAGTGGCTCAGCTTCTTTGTGTAAGTATGGTCATATTCCGTGTTTTGTTGAAAATGAATACTCTGAACTGGTTCCCTAAATTACCAGGTGCAAATATCTTTAATGCTAATGCCAATACATCTATCTCCTAATAGTAACTGATTTTGCAAATATCCTACTTCAAGACTATACCTGGTCAAAGCCTTGGCACACACTCCTTCAATAAAGCTGGAAGGGGGAACCAGTTCATATTGTGGTGATGGCTGGAAGTACACAAATCCTGCCCCTTATTATTAATCCTTGCCTCCACTTAATCTAATTCTTAGAAAGTGCTTCAGGACTCCTTTGTAAAAGGTTTCTAGGGACAGCTGAGAGCGTCGCATTCTTAATGAGTCAGACAACTATTCTGATTATGTCAAAGACTCAAACTGTCCTGGTAAAATTTTATTATAATGTAAAGCCACAAATTACAAGGCAAAAGATAATAATATCTTCAAGTTTCCTAGTGACATGGGGATTTTTAAATAGCATGATCACAACTGCTTCAGAGTGAGTTCCAAACCATGTTACAAAGCATTCTGGTCCACTAGTGCTCATCATGAAGATACCTCCAGAATGAAGGTGGAATTAAGCAGAACGCAGAAGTGGGCAGATTTGCACATACAGTCATGTGAACTCAGGCTGATGTAGTTTTATGGATGTGATATACCGGAAAGGCACCCTGAGACAGTCCAAAAAGGGGTATAATAGCCCCAGAGAGATGACACCCAAATGCTAGAGCTGGCATTGGACAACCCCTCAGGGTTGAGGGGAGGGTTGTCCTAGGGTTTTCACCATCTTGGGTGAAAGCTTGACTGTGAAAGGAGGACTCTTCCTGCTCTCCAGTAACGTAAGGCTTGCATAGGGAAACACCAGCTACTTCTTCCTACCTAGCATGGTAGGACTCTTTAATTAAGAGAGTCGGCCAAGTCAACCAGGCAGGGAAGGAGGTGGGAGCACAGGCTACAGGGCAGAGCAGTATGATTGTGTTGCACTAGCCAATACAACACACCTCAAACATTCAGGGACACTGGGCACTGGAACAAGACAGGAAATTTCCGGGAAGGGAGCACCCTGTGGGGCAGATCCTCTGTAGAGTTACAATACCAAGCACAGATCAGCACTGCCTGAGGATGCAGGCCACAGCATAGGTAGCCTGGACAATTTCAAACTTCTCCATCTCACTTGGGCATTTCGGGTGTGTAAAAACTGGAGGAAATAGTACCTACAGACATGAAGACACACTAAGGGACCAGGCAAAGCTGCCAACAGACTAAAGCCTTTTGGTCCCTTTGCCAGGAGTATATACCACCAAGGACAGAGGCTACGTTCCAGCACTGAAGTGCAAGGACGGAATCATGTAATGGAATAAGAACAAAGCCTTTATGTCAAAGTCTTGAAAACTTCTTATTATTATTCTTAACCACAACATGTGCAACCTGAGGGAACAGCAATTAACATCCAAGAAGCAGCATTAGCAGAATCTATAAAACATCCACCTCACACCCCCTCACTTAGCTGCACACAGCAGCTTACTGAAGTCTGCGGCCCAGCTCTAACCCCATGGCGAGCAATGCCCTGCTGTGCTGACAGAAGCTGCTCTCTGAAAGCCCTGGGTATGCGGCTGTGTAGTCAAGATGAATTTAACCTACTGAGAGGTATGTCCCTTGTCCATGCCCTTGTGTCCTTCCTGATAGGTGTGTCTATGTCTGCCTGAAAGCTCTGACCTAAGTGCCCTGTGAAGGGGCCTTAACAACATGACACAGAAGCTCTGACTTCTGGATGGACTGGAGGGAAAGGGACTGGAAGCCCCAGGAGGATGGAGACTGTGCATGTGCAGTACAGGGAAAGCTTAAGGGACTTCCTGAGTGAGTCCTGATCTCATGCACTAAGGATAGAAGGAGGTGCTGACATCCAGCACTGTGGGAAATTCAAAGCTCCACTGAGGGCCATCCTAGTCCCAGCTACAGTTCCACATGTAGAGCCTTGCTATGTTCTGTAAATTCCTCCAGCAAACTGCTGAGCCTGAGGAAGATCATATCAATTCCCCAAATTGCAGCCATTCTAAGAGGTAGCCCTGAGGTCCCCCAAAACTGTGGCTAGTGTCTTATAGAGAACTGTGCCCTCACCTGGACGACTGAGAAAGTCAGTGTAGATAGATGTTGCCCTATGTCTTGTCCAGAGAAAGCCAGGTACATACTTTGCTGGGCTGGTATGCGCTGATGGCTGACAGTGGGAGCACAGCACAGTGGGCTGCAGGACAAACTGTGTGAGTCTCTCTTCCAGTACACTGGGTGCTCTGTGCAAGACAGCCCTCCTTCTGATTATCCTTTATGTCCCTTAGCACCTAAGCCAGTGTCCTGATCCCACAGAGTCAGACGAACTAAACTAATGAGCAGTGTAGAAACTTGTGGTTAAGGAAGAAATAAAATCAGCCCTGAAAGCTTCCAATACAACAGCGACAAAACTAATCTTCCATCCTCTACATCCATAATTCAGATCCTCGAAACCAATTAGTTAGCTAAAAATGAAATATTCATAAATGAGCTTGGAATAATTTAAGTTCTGAAAACAAGTTGCTGCTGTCAACTACCCACATTTCATGAAGGGCTGAGAATTCTGGAGCTAAAAAGAAAACCACACAGCCTCAAGTCAAAGCATCCGAGCTGCCTGGGTTCCTCCTCTGCTTCTCCCTCAATCCCTTGCCTGGGTCTGTCACTGAGCTCTGGCCATTTGTCCTAAGTCTATGTAGTAAGCATTCTTTCCATTTTCAAATGGCTTTATCCACTCACTTCTGTACCAGCCTTCTGTTCCAGGTTTTTCCCACCACAAGCCCTTGCCTCCTTATCATCTCCTGGCTCTGGAACATCATTATTCTGAATAAATCTGCCCCATAATCCTCAGACCCTTGTTTTGGGGAACACTGTTTACCAGGCATGATGTGTCCCTTTGTTTTCTCAGAAGCAGAGCAGCTCTGATTAGTCAAACTATCCAGATCCTCCTAAGGTTGGGGCTGTTACCACCTCTCACAGAAGGAAGGCTCGGGAAGGCTATTAACCCTCTCTTAAGATTCTGGCCAGTCCACCCTACACCAGCCTCCCAGATGCACGTCTCAGGGGGTGCTCGAGTACATGAAAGGAGTGGGGAAACGGAAGTGTAGGCTCTATCTATGCGATTGTAAGGAGGTTATCACTCATGCAATGTGGGGCTTTTGGGTGAAGCGGCTGTTTCTAGGTCATGCATGTTCCTGTAAGTAAGCCGCCTTCTGTGCTCCGATAAGTGAGCCCAGTAAACTCACTAGTTCACCAAGACAGACCTGGATGAAATAATCTCTCTGGTTTGTCGTTATTGCTCTATTTTGGGTACATGGCTATTGCTCACATCTTCCTCTTTCTCTTCTAGGCCCTTTAGCACATAGCACACAGACAAACATCACACATACACAACATATACAGGTGCACAGAGTGTGGGTGGGTGTGAGACAGAGAGAGAGAGAAAAACCTCCACTCTCCTTTGCTTCCCCTTACACTGTCCAGTGCAGTTGCTCTGAGTTGCTGAACATGTACATGTATCACTGTCCTCTTTCCCTCATCTATGTCCACTTTCTTACCTGCAGGTCAGACCCTAATGCACAACCTAGAAGGTGGTCCCGTCCAAATCCTAGCACCTTCTCCTGGGTGCTGCCAACAGCTACTGAAGGAGAACTGTGCCCTCACTTGACTGTGTCACACCCACAAATATTTGGAATGTGCCCTCAAGCACAGCCTCCTAAGTCCTTTTCCTCTCTTCCTGCTATAAACCCTGAGTCCTGAGCTACCTTCTAGGTCCAGGGTCTTGCTGGTTCTTCAACAGAAGTGGAAGAGAGCAAGCAGGTGAGAAGAAAACAGTCACTGGGTGGTGATTGCCAAAAGGGCTTTTGGAGAATGAGCTGTGTCTGGTGTTCTCAGTTTCTAATAAAGGAAAGGGGCAGAGGCAGGGTATATCTGAGCTCTATCAACCTTGTACATCCAAGGCCAAAAACCCTGGCAAAGAGCAGAAAGAATCAGGGTGAGGTTTTCAAATTCAACCAAAAAAATTTAATTAAAAAAATTTAAGAGCCCAACAAAATAAATAAATATATATATAAATATATATTTATATTATTTATATTTATATTATATATATTTATATATAATATATATATAATGGAAGGCTTTTCTTTGTACATCACTCAAGATTGTGAGACTTTCCCAGATACTACCTCATTTTATTGTTATAAAATCTTCGTGAGATGTGTATAACAGGCATAATTCACTCAGTATGAAACAAAAGACCCAGAGATTCCCGAGGCTTGACGTTTTTCCAGAACCATTAGCTGAACATGCAGACAGAGCTGGAAGGTGGGCATCCTTATTCTCCACTACAGATCTTATGGTGGAAGCCCCTCAGGGCTGGCGGATGATGGTCAGCTGTAAACATCTGTATGGATCCGGTCTGCAGTGCCAAGAAAATGCTTTTGAGTTGGGCAGCCCTGCAACCCTCCCTACACCTCAAGTTTCTAAGCATACATCAGTCTCTACTTTACAGAGCCCTTGTAATAAGTGAGGCTACTGTCACAATGCGCAGTGCACTCAAGAATGACTGACAGGGTGGAAACTGTATGCTATTCCACTGTAGCCTTAACATTCTGACTTTCAATATCCTAGTTAAGAAAGTACTACAGGCAGTGGGGGTGTACCCCTTTAATCCCAGCGCTCAGCAGGTGGATCACTGTGAGTTGGAGGTCAGCTTGGTCTACAAAGTAAATCCAGAACAGCCAAGGCTGTACAAAGAAACCCTGTCAAAAAACCAACCAACCGACAAACCAACCAACCAGGCCATCATTAAACAATGTGACTCCTAGATGTGCCCCCATCCCTGTTCACCCTGACTCTCAATGTATGTTTCTTG